CAAGAATGAGAACTGACAATGCCTGTATACAAAGCAGCGATGAGATTAAATGATAACTCAATGTAAAAGTTGAATCGAAAATCGCATTCGAAAAAACAAAGTTGGAATACTTATACGACCTATTAAGATATATTTAGTACAGATTAAACAAAATCAGCTGCCCATAGCTATACAGGTGGCAGGAGGGGGGGGGGGGCATGTGAAATATGAATAACTAGAAATGAATGGGGGAAACACATTTTGTTTTATCTGATTTAAAAATTAAAAATACACAGTGAAACCCCCATCAGCTTTCATTCTGTTCTTCCTGAAGGCCTGGATTTGTATTACCTCAGCAATTACCAGGTACTCATTTATTAATACACCTGGGTGGAGAGTGGCAAATGTGGATTAATGTCTTTTCAAAAAACTTTGGTACTGGGCTGGGATTCGAACCCTCAACCCCAGGATTGAGATGGGAGTCAAGTGAATGAACCACTATACCACGACACCTCCACAAGATGCCCAATAACATGGTGATTTTCTACTCACAGACGAATCGACCTCTCTTGACCATGGGCTCTGATCCGTAGACGATCTCCTCCAGGTTGTCGAACTCCTCGGGTGTGGCGACCACGGAGGCGACAAGGACGAAGACGGCGATGGCGAAGATGAAGACCTTCATTCTACCAGGAGAGAGTTTGTGGATAATGAAGTTATTTTCAATGAAGCACATTTTCAAATTAGCCTACTCTATAAATAATCAGGAGTGGAAACCCATTTCAGGGGATTCATGTTAGAGATCGCTCCTTTTTTATTACAAAATTATACACTCTCAAAGATATTAAAATGCAGTCTCCGTAAGTCAACCACTATGCTTTATAGTGGATTCAACTCAGAATGAAGTGATCTCTAAGAATATGACTCAAAAGAAATGGATTTCCACTCGTTTGCATTATTAGGGTAGTGTCTGTAGGGTTATAATAATAACAGAAAAACACGTTTAATGTTTTCGATATAAACATGATTATAGTCAGACTTAAAATAGATATCAAAGGCCCACTAATTCTTAAAGAGAAAATTCATTGATTTAAAAAACTAACTTTAATGTCATTATTGCAAAGGTGACACTTTGATTGGCCAAGGTTATTAAAAGCCAATGCTAAGACAACATTCAAAGTAATGATTATTAACAATTACAAAACGCTTAGATACAGCCCCGACATAGCACCTGAAAAGCTCTCCGGTCGCTGCTGAGATATGACGTCACATGTTGAACATGATGTGCACAAGCAGACGATGTCCCATGACATCTCACACAATTTCACTGCCTGTTTTGTCATCTTTTCTTCAGTTATTTCTCTTACTTCAATACCCTCAGGCGAAATGTTTAATCTATTGCCTCACTCTAAACCCCGTGCATGGTATTATTTGGATGAAAAATGCAAGGAAAAAAGAAGAAAAAGGAATCTGTCGCTTGTTAACAAAATAGGACGCCATTGTATTTTCAGCTGCATACACCGCGGCATGTTCGGCGTTTCAAGAGGGAACAAATGACGTCCATGCTATCATTCCGGAGGTTTTTTAATTTGAAAGTGTGGTTTCTTTGATTGTTCATTAACCCCTATCCTGTGTATTTTCAAACAAAAGAATTTAGTTTTCAGAATGGGGGTCATATCCCTTTTTGAATGGTGTAAAATTCCATCACATTTATATACACTAAACTCATTATAATTTGAGAAATAAAAGCATTGCAATTATGTTCATTCTTTATGGGGTGTCGTCTGCTTGGGCAGGGTTGGTTCACAATTGTGACGGCATTAAAACATCGTTATTTTTCCGGCGAATCTCTCGCATATCCCAGATGCTATAGAAGTTGTTTTATTTGTATTTTTATAAATCACCCGATATGTAGTTGAACTAAAACTTGCATGATGGCCATCTGTTAGCTTACCAGTTTCTAGTAATACGCTATTTGCCATATTTGTGATTTTCTATGAACCCGCACTTTAAATTTGCAATAGATGCCATAAATGCACCGAAAATCGTGCACATACATCTAGGTGTATTGTTGAGGGGGAAATGATGGAAAACACCATGCGTTGAATCTTAACCCAAAGCTGAATACCTCTTTATGAAATGGACCTAAATATCTAAACTTTGCGATATTCAAATCTCGAGAAAGTAGACAGCGCAGTCGCCGCAGTGCACCTTAGGTCACTCTTTCACAAAAAAAGCATCTATAAAAAAAAAGCAATTATGCCACAAATTAAACCCCTTTGCATTGTTTATGAAACCTTTGATACTTGCAGAAAAATTAAGAGATTCCCGTATAGGATGTATGCTTGTTTCCTTTTTAGAACGACGGCACAATGTCATTAACAATTTTTAAACCATTCTGTTTTTTTTTTTCCTTTAATCAAACTAAAAGATAATGATGCTTACCTGATTTCGTGATGATCTGATGATCTGAAGTTACAAAGAGAGATACTAGGAGTCGATTGCTTCGATGGTTGAGTCTGTCCAATGTTGGTCTAAACTCTCCTATTTATACCATTTTGGTCCCCATCCCCTAGCCGGCCAAACGACCGAGCAGATGGGCCCCCGATTGTCCCTAAATCCAGGATGGATCAATCGGCCATCATAATTATGACCATGACTTATACGTCGAACATGCTTGATTGTAGTATCTGTCAACTCAAATTAATAATAATGCCTTTATTTTTCTGATTGGCTGAAAGTAAACCAACAGGAACGAAAACAATTAAAAACGATAATTATAATCTTTTTTTTTAAAGCAATTTTTTAAAACATAAAAACGTCCTGCTGAGTTGCCGTGGCAGAAATTTAACCCACGAAACTTTTCGACTACGATAACAGTGCTATCTAGAAAACTACGGGAATGCCTTTTTTTTTTTATATGATTTTAATATTGTTGACAATCACATAAGAAGTTTCGATCGCTCTCTCTATCCCGTGCAATGATTGTCAGAAAGGGGTCTAATAATCTAGAGCATATTGAGGGTCGAATCATAATCATCTGCCCCCCCCTCTCTCTCTCTCTCTCTCTCCCTGTGTGTGTGTGTGTGTCTCTCTCTCTCTTTCTCGGCTCTCTCTCTCTCTCTCTCTCTCTCTCTCTCTCTCTCTCTCTCTCTCTTTCTCTATCATGATGTATGCCACACCCTTTCTCCCTTCTCCCTTCCCCTATTTTCTCATCCGACTGTCAAGCTCTAACACGAGGCCAGCATTCACGGCTCTTCATTTACTTCCTCCCGTTATTTTTTATGATGGATTTTACACGCATCATCTACGTGTGCACCATGCGACCGGGGCATTATTTGGCAATTATTAACGCCTACCAATAATATATAAGAGACCAACATCATTCTTAGAGCTGTTGTAGTCAAGTAACTCTTGACTGGAGGCACCAGAGTGGGTTCGATCCCTAGCATGACAGTTATTTCAGCAAGTTAAATGGGGAGACTACCCGGACTTGGTAGGATACGAACGTTATTGTCATCGTAGCAGTGGCGTAATGAGCAAAAACTTGGGGGGGGGGGGGAGAAAAACCCGGGAAATCAGGGCATTTCACCAACTGCCCTCCCCCCCCCTCCCTCCCCTCCCCCTCCCATCAGTACGCCAGTGGGACTCAGCTATATGGGCGTCTGCTAATGGGGACCTCAAGACTTGGGGAGTCGAACATGTTTAGTTCAGTGGTATAGTGGTGTATTTCCTTGACTCTCAATCCAAGTGTGATGGTTCGAATCCCAGCCCGGCACTAACATCCATTGGAAAGATATTCTTTCATATTTGTCACTCTCCATCCAGGTGTAACACTAGCATTTCAAGGGGAAGAGTGCGCTTTGGGGGCTGAAGTCCCCCCCCCCCCCCCCGCCCTCCCCCTTCCTAAATATAATGGATGCTCTTCAGAGACCAACGGTTTTAGGACCAAAATCAGTAATTAAAGGGCATTTCATTCCAAACAAAAAATATATACTTTCAATAGAAGCAGCAAAATCAGAAAAAAAACAATCAAAAAAGGTTTGAGCAAAATCGGATAACTATAATAAGCAAGTTATGAATTTTTAATGGCATGAAAAACTTTGAAAATCAAAAAACAAATTGGTAACTCTCTCATGAGTCTGTAACGTCACTGCCTCACTATCCACCAATAAATTGTTTTCTTTATATTGATATTTAAAATTTCGAATTTTCCCCCTTACATCTTATTTCCTCACACCAGCATTCAAGTTATATTGATAGTATATAGAATTTGTGTGGATGCGCTAATGAGGACTAATTTTATTAGGTTAAAGCATGAAAAATGTGAATTTTTATAAACTATTCATATAAAAATCAATCATTATGAATATAAATATTCAGAAAATAGTATCAATTCTTCAAAGTTCATAAAAGATTTTGTGAAATGTCATGCACGCAATATGATACAAATCATATAACCTGGGCATAGGCATGAGGAAATCAAGTTTTGGGCCCGGGGTTAAAAAGGGAAATTAATGAGATAACAATATTTAAAGCAATTGATAAATAGTGAGGCAATGACGTCACAAACTGATAACCGAATTGCCAATTTGTGAAGGCCTAGTTATTTTCATACTCTTTCATACTTTTGCATCTTAATTTGCTTTTGCTACTTATTTTGGTTTTGTTCTTGTTTTTTTTTTTTTTATGTTCGCTATACATCAAATCGAAGATTTTCAATAGCTTGTTGTCACCTGAAAACAATTTCTTATAAGTATCGTATCCTTTTTTTAAATCTTAATAATATTTCAATTTTTTGTTCAAATCTCCCTACCTCTGATACTGGTTGGAGCGCCCCTATTTCTACCGTGTTAAAGGGTATTGATAATCCATGCTGATCCCTATCCCTTGGCAGGTGCGGTCTTACACACAAACTAGACAGTAGAGGCAAATCGAATGAAAGAAATTATGTAATCACTGAGTTCAATGTTTGTGTTTGCGCCCTCAATTGTCAAAAATTCCGCATCCTAAGATTCGACTTTTGGAGTTAAATATACGGTAAGGTTTATCCGCATTTGTATTTTAATCTATCATTAAATTGGTGTAAAAGCGTGTGAATTTTTTGTATAGTGAGATGTGAGGTAAATTTGGAATGGTGTATGTGTCATTGATACTATTGGAGGTCAAAGCAAACAAAATAATTTGTATTTTTTGCTCAATGCAGTCCCATACGTTTGCCATTATGTTGTGTATGTTGCAATGCAATGTAGATTGTATATTTTGGTTGTAGCTTTTTTGGGCGGAATTAAAAATGGTGAATGACATGAAGTCAAAAGTGGAAAAGCTTGACAAATATATGTACCTTTCAAGGATATGTATTTGTACTAGAAAAGGGAGCTGAGATAGAAAAAATATAATTAGAAACTTTTTATTGACGAGAAAATGGCAGAATTAATGGTGCATATTATGAAGGGGTGACCAAAGTTCGCGGATATTTTTCTTTTCTTGCATATTTCAAAAAATCCAGATCAACATATATCATGTTCCATACGTCATAAGATTCGTAATTTATCATATAATCAGATTATATAACATTCCAAGGCTTTATTTACTCCAAATCAATGATAAGACGAGAATATCGGAAGCCTTACCACTACCGACGTCCGTCAAAAAGTGTGACCTAAGTTCGCGCATGATATTTACTGCCCTCTTGTGATGGGCTTTATATATGTAAACATTCCAAAAAGTTTCGTAGTTTCAATCAGAAGCCGAACTTTATATTAAAACTTTGAAAAATATAATAATTTCTCTCTATCATTGAAATATTGCCCGATAAAAATACCCTTGTTAAATTTTGCAAATAAAAGACAATATTTTTCAATGTTTATGTGTTAATGTCAATGTAGTCCCTATCTGCATGTCATTTGTTTGTTTGAAAAAATTATCATGTGTCTCCATTTTATATGTCAGCCATACACGAGTTCTCGCTCTTTTCTCTCTTTGTCTCTCCTCTTTCCCCTTTTAAATTTGTATTCTTACGAACCATAGATTCATTGAAATTCACAAACACAGATACGGTGGAAGCAGGCGCGCAGGTTCCGTTTTTCGCGTAAGAAATTGGAATTTTATCATTATTTTTCGGAGTCGATCCCTCTAATAAACTGATTTTCATGTAAAAAAAACACAATTTGTTATGATAAAAAGCGTGAAAAAGCTAGCTTATTCACATTTTTATGCCGCATTTTGACCTTTGGAGTTGTCGACGGTGCTCAAAGATTTCGTTGTCTCAGTCCCACACAGGCCTCGCGTATCGTTCTCCTGTTATAAGCGCTTTTAGTGTTAGTACGCGAACTTTGGTCACGCGCGAACTTTGGTCACATCACCATATATGCCGGAGTCGGGCTAACTCGGACCAGGGGACAACTCGGCCCAGGTACAAAAATGGTCAGTTTTTGCATGTTTTGGTTTAGGGTTAGGGTTAGGGTAAGAGTTAGGGTTAGAGTTAGGGTAAAATGACAAAAAATTACCGTTTTTCCAGCAGGGCCGAGTTGTCCCCTGGTTCGAGTTGGCCCGGATCCCATATGCCATATCTCTCTAATTATTTTGTCTTCCCTTTTTTTTCTGCTTCCTATTCTTCTTCTTCTTTTCCTTCTCCTTCTCCTATTCCTTCTCCTTCTCCTTCTTCTCCTTCTTCTTCTTCTCCTTCTTCTTCTTCTTCTTCTTCTTCTTCTTTTTCTTCTTCTTTTTCTTCTTCTCCTTCCTCTCGAATTTCTTCTTGTTGTTCTTCTTCCTTTTGTTGTTGTTGTTCTTTTTCTACGAGACCACTGCTATAACACTTACTTACTTTACTTTAATACACGATGTTGTAGGTCTAAGCCTGTTCATCGATCCAGGATTCTTCCAGGGAACTGCGATTCGTGGAGGGAGGAGGTTGTGTAAAACATGAAACAACAGACAACACCTAGACCGGCTCATACAGAAGGCTTGCGTTCTTTGACCAGTGACTATCCAGTCTATTCTTGAATGAGTTGACTGACCCAGCTGCCACAACATTTTCTGGGAGACTGTTCCACAGCTCCACGACTCTATTGCTAAAAAAGTATTTTCTGATAGTCTTGAATATTTCTTTTCTAGTTTTCTAGAGTGACCTCAAGTTCTATCTTCTGTACTCAACTTAAAGGGAATCTCTTGCACATTGTACAAGCCATTCAAGTACTTGTACACATCGGTCATGTCCCCCCTTCTACGCCTGTGAACAAGAGTTGGTAATTGGAGTTTAGTCAAGCGCTCCTGGTAAGATAAATTTCTAAGGCCAGGAATAATCTTTGTTGCACGTCTTTGTACGCTTTCCAACATCCTCTGTTCTCCTAGTCTGTACGAGGACCATGCGGCCTGTCCGTATTCTAATATGGGCTTACGAGGCCTTTAAACAAAAACGGCATAGTGTCAGTATTTAGGTACATAAATGTCCTACGGATAACTCCAAGTACTCGATTTGCTTTGAGAACTGTTTGGGAGACGTGATCTTTAAATGATAGTTGTGAATCTACAAGGACACCTAGGTCCTTTTCTACTTTGGTAACAGATAGTGTTACAGAGTCTGTCCCCTTTTTCATACAATAGCCTGTAGAGGCATCTGCTGGTAACTTCCCAAGCCTTAAAACAGTACACTTATCAGGATGAAAGCGAAGCTGCCATTTCTCAGCCCATTCTTCCATCCGTGACAGATCCTCTTGAAGCTGCTTTCTTAAATTTGCAGTATCAGCACGGACATACAACTTTGTATCATCTGCAAACATTGAAATATTTGAGTTCACAACTTTTGGAAGGTCATTGACAAATAGCAAAAATAAACACAGACCCAACACACTGCCCTGTGGCACTCCACTCAGTACTTTGCCCCACTTAGACTGCTTGCCTCTGACCACTACTCTTTGCTGCCGTCCACTCAGAAAAGACTCTAACCATGCAAGTACATTCCCACGGACTCCATATGACTCTAATTTGAGAAGCAGCCGGTGGTGAGGCACCGTATCGAACGCCTTCATAAAGTCTAAATATATTGCATCTACTGTGCCTCCATCATCCAAAATCTGTGTTCACTGGTCCAACACCTCTGAAAGATTGGTAATGCAAGACCGACCAACTACAAACCCATGCTGGTGAACTGAAATCAAATCATTCGTCATAAGATGGTCAAGCAATTGCTTACGCACAAGATTCTCCATCATTTTACAAATAATGCTTGTTAGACTAACTGGCCTATAATTTTTACTATCACCTTTGTTACCTTTCTTGAAAATTGGGGTAACATTAGCAGATTTCCAGTCCTGGGGTAGCTGTTTACTTTCAAGACTCTTTTGGAAAAGAATAGAAATTGGTAGAGCTAACACATCTGCTAGTTCTTTAAGTAGACGGGGATGTATGTTGTCAGGCCCCGGAGACTTATTAGGCTTAAGTCTACGCAGTAGTTCAAACACATCTCCTGACGTAATTTGTATGTCATCTAGTGGAGTGTCAAATTCAACATCTGAGGGGAGAGGGATATCTTGTAAATCTTCCTTCGTGAAAACTGAAGAGAAGAAATCTTGCAAAACCTCTGCCTTTTCCTGATCCGTTTCTGTTTTACTCCCATCAGGTTTAGTTAAATTACAGACACTTTCCCGAGTTGTTATTTTTGAGTTTACATATGACCAGAAGGCTCTTGCATTCTTCTTAACTCCTGAGGCTATATATTTCTCATATGAATTCACCGCCTTCCTACACTGCCACCTTGCTTGATTGCTGGATCTACTATGACAACGTCTTTGCTGTTCAATTTCTGCACTAGAAAACTTTTCCCGATTTTTTTTTCGCTTTTCATCTCTTGCCACTTTCTGAAATGTCTATGTTTTTCTCTAACAACTTCCAGAGTCTCTCTGTTCATCCAATGTTTTTTCCTCTGACCTACATTTAGTGTTTTCTTTGATGTATAACGATTAAAGATGTCTAACAGTGTAGTTTTGAAGAACGACCATGATTTTTCCATGGACATCTCCCAAAATTCATTATTCCAATCAATTTCCATAATCTTATCATACATTGTATCATAGTCTGCTTTATCATAAATGTATCTTGTTTCTCCAGTTTTGGCACCTTGGCCTCTTATTTTCATGTCAAAAATCAGTGTATAATGATCACTTCTGCCAAGACTTGCAGAGGTTGCAATATCTGTAATAGCATGTTCGTTAGCTGTGAAAACCAAGTCTAATACATTGGAACATTGGCCACTACGGTGCCGTGTAGGCTTGACTTGGTGTTGTACTAGAAAAGCATCTTTAGTGCTCTCAATAAATTTATGAGCTGGATGCTCTACACCCTTTGTACAAGATTCTAATCCCCAATCTATGTCGGGAAAATTAAAATCCCCAATTAACAAAACATCCTGAAAGGTACTCTGACCCACTTCTTGGAAAAGTGCACACAACCCATCATTTACACGGTTATCTGCATTTGGACTTCTTTAAAAAAGGCCTACAAGGAGTTTACCACCTTCCTGAGCCAGCGCGCCTGCTCCTCCTCTTTTTTTTCCTCCTCCTTCTTCTTCTTTTTCTTTTACTTCCTCCTTCTTCTTTTTCTTCCTCTTCCCCTCTTCCTTTTTTCACAGGAAGAATAAGTTTAACAAACATGAATTGGTATGAAAATCTTTACGCATGCCGTTTTAAATTCAAATGACCTTACCAGTTTCTTTATAACATGATAGCATTGTCATTTTCATATTTCATTTTTTCTGCTCCAGTTGCTTCCAATTCCATTCTGAAGTTGACCTCCACACAACCATGCCTCTTCTTGGGAATAAGTTCAACACCAAAAAGACCCCACCTAGAAGGTCGGCCTCCCTCAACAACCTGAATCGCTTAGAGAGTTCCATCAGAGATGAGGAGTACGGAATGACCTATGGGCAGCCAAAAGTCAAGCTCGGGGGTCAAGAACTCAAGTTTGATGAAGACAATGGGGTGTGGATTGCAGGTGAATTCAGCAGGCTTCTCCTCTTCTCCTTCTTCTTTGTCTTCCCCTTCTTCTTTTTTTCAATTAAAATGGCAGCATGTTGTATTAAATCTAAAATCAAATTTTTATATTACTCTGGTATACAGAGTTCTTTGTCATTAAATTTCTAGTACTGCTCACTTGAAGTCCAAAACTCTGGCACTCGGTTTTCCTACTGGTATTAATCGAATCAGAATGGTGTTACTTTTGTAATAGTATATGAGCTAATTACATCTATAAAGCTCTTGGCAAATGCTAATTGTTACTTGTATTTCTTCTGTTAATTGAGTTTTCTTGATCTTACCTCTTCTCTTAATAGAATCTGGCAATGCTGGAGGGGTCAGTCAGAGGGATTTCATCAAAGTGAGAAAGCAGAACAAATCATTGGCTGAAGAAAACAATCTTCTCAAACTCAAGATTGAACTTCTACTAGACATGGTTAGTGGTCAATAGTATATTACCTCTGTGTATAGTGCATTGAACAGGCTGAGATGAGGATGATTAGATAATAATAAAAATAATAATATTCATTTGTAAAGCGCAATAACTATGTGGATATATTCTATTGCGCTGCAAGAGCTCGTAAATGCTGTGCTATACATACTATATGAACAAGTGAGTTTTCAGTTTTGATTTAGTTTAGATGGTAGTGCAAGACCTCTGTACATGATAGAAAGAAGAATGAAGATCTGCACCAATCCATAGGACTGACAAAAATCTCACAGGAGATAAGGATGGGTGAATTGAGACTGTAAGGTCATGTGGTAAGGAGGCAAAACAAATATTGGCTTCAGAGAGCAACTTCCAGCCAGGTTGCTGGACCAAAGCAACTAAAAATCAACTGATGTCTATCGTATACACCAGAAACAAACTGGTAATCACATTTACCTGACCATACAGTATAGCGATTGTACAGTGAGATCCCTTGTGTTGCATGATTTTTGTCACGCTTATTTTTTAGTGTCAAATTTGTATCATTTTCTGGCATTCTCTCTCTCCTTCCCCCCCCCCCCCTTCTCTCTCTCCCTCTCCATCTCTTATTATTATTCTTGCTCTTTTTTACTTTGTTTGCTTCATCTCTGTTCATGTCATCCCCAACATTCTCCCTCTTTCTCTCTCTCTCTCTCTCTGCTGATGCCCTACATTATTATCTCTCACTCTCTCTCTCTCTCTCTCTCTCTCTCTCTGTCTCTCTCTCTCTCTCTCTGTCTCTCTTTCTCTCTTTCTCTCTCTGCTGATGCCCTACATTATTATTTCACTGTCTCTCTCTCTCTCTCTCTCTCTCTGCTGATGCCCTACATTATTATCTCACTGTCTCTCTCTCTCTCTCTCTCTGCTGATGCCCTACATTATTATCTCACTGTCTCTCTCTCTCTCTCTCTCTGCTGATGCCCTACATTATTCTCTCACTGTGTCTCTCTCTCTTCTTTCCATGATCAGTTGGCTGAAACCACAGCAGAGAAGCATTTGATGGAGAAGGACCTAGGAGAGTATGGACACTCCTCAAGTTCAAAGAAGAAGAGCAAGAGCCACAAAAGATGATGACACAACTCCTTGAATAGATCTGTAATGCTGGACATTCTACATGCATGCATGCATCAAACCCCTCATGGTATTCATGAAGACACAGGACCGGGAAGAGTTGAGTCAGAAGAAAAGCCTAAGACCTAAGATCTTTAATGCTGGACATTTTATGCCTGTATCAAATACCCTTGAAATGCATGGAGTATCTGGACAGTCCTCACATCAGAACTAACTAATGAGCAAAAGGCTTAGTTGATAAAACACTATGAATTGTTATTACTGGATACTTATCACATGCATGATACCTTGTCAAAAAAAGGACTGGGGATGGTTCTGACAATCCTCAAGTCAGAAGTAGGAAATCTTGAAGCCAAGAGGATGAAGAGATGGCGATACTTCCTGAATCTGTAATCCTAGATATTTCATAGACAGATTTAGGAGGGTGGAGTTGAAGGGGTAGAGTACCTGTCCCCTCCCCCCCTCCTACATACACATTTTTAAAAGAAAGGATGAAATTAAATTTAAAAAATAAAAATGAAGCCTTTGAGCATTTGTTGCCGAAGTGAATCAGCTCAAGTACTCCCAACCACCAAATAATGAGAACTGATGACACTTTAGGGATGGTGGTGCTATTTTAAACTGAAAGTTGTCAACGTACACGTACTTACATTGAAATTGAAAGTATCCCTTTGTATACTGGCATATGCTGTACTTCACCTGTATTTGTAATTTCCCTCTTTTTTAAAAGTTTCTAGTTTCAATGACAGCTTTTCTGCTGGTGCTTGAAAACTTTGGGCTGGTCCCAAACAAAATGTGTATTCAAATCTTGATTTATGAACCTTGTACATGATATTCATACTTCTTGTTGCTCTTCCTTCAGCATGTAGAGATGGTTTGAGTTTATTTGATACATTGGAGAGGATATCTGTTATTTTGATTTGACCAACCATTATCCACTTGACCAGCTGGCCATAGGGCTCAAACAAAAAGGGTGTTGTATTGCCTGTTTCGACCAACCCCAAAATCTTTAGATCTACAGTTGGCTTCTTATTAAAGGTTTTTTAACCATTTTTTTAGAAGAAGAAAAGTTTAATGAATAAAAAAATATGTATTAAAGCATTAAAACTGAAAAGTATCAGCGCAAAGATGGAGAAAAAAAAAGAAGGAAGACAAATTTCACTGACCAATCCAGCTGCTAAAAGGCAATACAACATCTTTTTGTTTAGGCCTACATGTAGTAACAGTGTTGATAGTGTATTGTTAGATGAGATAGAGTAATTCATTGTCCTATGCAAATATCATTTTCCCCTTTTGTTAAGCTATTTTCAGCATAGGGTCTCTTGCTTGCTATGGATGAGTGTTATTTGGAATATGATTTGATTCAAGAAAATTGTACTTTTTTGGCAGTGAAGTGGAAGCTACATGTAATCTGGAGTACAGTAAGCTTGTGACTTTCCACACTTGTATATATATTTGTTGTCTTCTTTTTCATGTTGAAGATGTTTGATATACATGTACTACATGTATTGTGAATTTGTGATTATTTATAAAAATGAAATGAAATTTATAAAAATGAAATAAAGTTTCCCCAAAATAATCTCAGTGTCTGATGAACATTTGTTGTAGATAAGAGAAAAAGGAGGGATCAGAATTTAACCTGTTTAATGGATTCCCTAAAAACCACAAGAAATGATAGTAAACTGTTCACTGTAAATGCATAAAATAGCTTCAAATATGCAGATTGTGACTGGTATTATAAATGTGTGGTATCTAGATTTATTCATACATGTATTTTGAATTCAGATTAGATTGCGCTTTATAAATTGTATATACGAGTATAATTATCAACCGCCAAAGAATTTAATGTGATATATAATAAAATCTTTGTGCAATGTGATTGGGAAAACAGAGACATCTTAGAGCAGAATAGTGATAGTGAATATGAAAAATGAGTGATACACCTGTATTAGGTGTGATGAGAAGAGTTGAAAGTGCACTTGACATTCACCTGCTTACTGCTCTATAGGGTTTATTCAGATATGGTGTGATCAATTGACTTAACAAAAATTAAAAATGTCAAACTATATTTACTTTTGAATGAATGGCAACTTTTCCAGAGCAATGTTTTAATAAGATAGAAAAATGTGGATCAAAAAAATAACATTTCTTGAGACAATTTGAGGTGCCTTTTTGTAGATTACATGCCCTGTGTAACTTTCTAATGTTGAATATCAAGATAAAAGACAAGCTTTTGCTCCAAAATACATACAGAGGATGTTAGAACCAGATTAGGTCATTTCAACTAAGTATGTATGGCAATGAAAGGGTTTTAACCTGTCCTAGACCTAGTATAAATTCAATTGTTGGAAAAAACAACTTTCATCCTATATCTTTTTTCATCTCAAGAGAGGAGAGACATCTATTCATCATCCATCCATTTATACATTCAAGTACATGTACTTATTTTTTTTCCCACATCTTTCACCCATTTCTTTTTCCTCATCTTTCACCCATTTTTCCCCCTCATCTTTTCCTCCTCATCTGTCACCTATTTCATTCATCATCTTCACCCAGATATCCTCTTCTCTCCCTCACAATATCTATCCATTTCTTTGTCATTCTCTCTACCATTCCCCGACTACGATCCCTTTTTTGTCTCTCCTTATCTTCATTCTGTTTGACACCAAGCCTTCCAAGTGTCCATCCATCTTCTATCCCTCCATGTACATGACCTATAATCGCCCATTTCTTTCTCCTAGTCTTACTGCCATTTCTTTACATCAATCTCATTGTAAACATTCATTTGTTCATTCCGTAGCCATCTCCATGTAATTCAGTATGGTTCTGTCACTCCTCCCTCTTTGCATCAACATCTCCCTTCCTAATGTCCACCATATAAATGTTCACAAACTCCCCTTGATGTTCAATGTACTTCTATATGTACTGTATCTACCTACTTGTTTCTACCAGCTTTTCCAACTCTCTGTCCATCAATTGCTTCTCAATCATACACATACACATCCAAGTACATTTTCTCTTGTCTCTATCTTCCTTCCCTTTCGTGATATTAATCTTCAGAAAGTTCTAAAGGCAACTGGCAACACAAACACAATTGGACAATTTCCATTAAATCAAATGTCCATGTTGTTCCATGTGCAAGTTGTTACATTCGAATTACAAATTAATTATCCCACAAAAATATATTAAATACTGATACATGTATATCTACTGCATAATTCTCCTGCATCTGTTAACTAGTAGACAAAAGCTCATGGGAATCCAAAAATTCAGTACAGGTATTCAATGGGTGAACTAGTAGCTGTTATTTATGTTAATGAAGAAGGGGGGGGGGGGGCTAAGAGAAATGTTATTAATAACAATAAATTTATTTACCCAAGGGAAGCCTCATTTGGGAATCTGTTCGAAAACATTTCAATCATTCATACAGTGTTAATAAATGTGCTTGTAATCTGCATATAAACACTGGCTAAACATCTTGTAGAAAGAAAAGTGACGTTAGGAATAATTCTCCAAATTTATTGATGTCTTATTCCCTTTTTTTTTTCTGATTTCATTTACCAAGAAAACCTCCATTAGTCATTATTAAATGAGAGATTTGTATGGATAATCAGAGAAAGCATAGAGATATAAAAAGAATACTTTAGGTCGCTACTATTCTAAAACCTGTCTCTGCATAGTAGAGACTATCTGGCTCCAGGAGGGGGTGCAGCCACCGAGACCCCCGGTATAGGGGGCGTTAGACCTCCCGTCATTCCGCCGGCTGAGGCAGCATTAGGTCCAAGTAATATCTGTTGAATGAACAAAGAAAAAGGGATAATTACATCAATTACTGATTCCAACACTTGTATATTTTTTTAATAGAAAAAACAAAAACAAAAAGTTTACACTACTTTAAATCTATACAAAAATGTTGATGAAACAACAACCCTACCTAACGAATAATTGCTCCATAAATAACTATCAACTCATTATATTGAAAAAACAATAACTGTGTGCTTATCATATATTCATGGTGTTTCAGAGTTGTTGTTTTTTAACTTAAAAAAAAATATTCCAGCATATACATGTATGGTCTAAAAAAGGATTTAAAAAATCCTAAGTATCGTTCCCTATTAAATGTAGTATAATTCAACATTATTATTATTGTTAAAGGCCCCCCCCCCCCCTCATGGAATGATAGTCATTGGATGAATACTTTAGGGACAATGTAACGATTGAAAGGCAAAGGATATTTTTTTCACCAGAAAAAAAACTTCTGAATCAACAGTATCATGAAATCACCATTAATCTGTAAAGTAGCATTTCATTTCATCAAATACATTGGTGTCTTCTTCACCCCCCCCCCCTCCCTAACAAAAAAAGACTGTGCTCACAAGATTGTGTGTGCAAAAAAATGAGTGGTTTCCTAAGCCATTGCCTTGGAATCGATCCCTGCATTTAGTACTTTTTTTTATTGATAAAGCAAGACCCCCATACCTGCTTCTGTCTCTGAATCTGGGCCTGTTCCATGTGCACCATCTCCGTCTCAAAGATGATCGGCAAGATGAGGAGCATGAATGATGTACTGCCGATCCAGAGGGCGCTCCGGCTGAAATTAAAGAGCTTCTTCATGCTGCTGACCGACAGACTGAATGTCACGCCTGCGACCGTACACAAGGTCTGCGGAAACATCTCGGTGAGGCCGACCAGTCTCTCTGTCAATGTCTCATCTTCAATATCCTGTATGCAATACAAGAAAAAGATAATAAAGTACAATTAACTGTCGTAAGCTTGATAAATAAATCATGCAAGTAAGCATGTAGCACGAGATAATTTACTAAAAAAATGCCAATAAATTTGAAACATCATATTTGCTACACGTATGTTAAGCACAATTTTAAATTTCTCCCCCTGAATAAGTTCTAATTGATCTATAAATCAACATGTTCAACAACAACGCTAAAAAATAATTAGTATCCGGTATCTATACACTTAAAAAACAATTTGAACAGTTATAAAACATTTTTTAAACCTGTGCTAAACATGCTTTTGGATCATGAAATGCTGGATATTAAAATAAATTAGCACTTTGCCACTAGCCACTTGCATATTTTTTTTAGCAGAGCTCAGCTCACTGTGCTCACGTCAACTACAAAAAATAGTTTAAAAAACACAAATTCAACATTCTTCTGCTTACATCATCATCTTCTTCAACTACAGCCATATCCATGGGCCCTTTGATTGCTTTTGATGCTGTTCTAACTGTAGCTGAAGCTGGACGAGCGGGCTTGATGCTTGGCTCTGGATTTGGCTGTGGTGGAGCTGGAGGGACAGAGTCGACAGACTGACTTTGGCTTTGGGTAGGTTCAGATTGAGGTTTATGTTGAGGGGCAGGGGCAGGCGCAGGTTCGGGTTGAAGTTCGGGTTGAGGTTGAGGTTTAGATTGAGGTTCGCTTTCAGGTTGAGGTTCAAGTTTAAGTTCAGATTCAGGTGCAGGTTGTGACGGTTCGCTTTCAGGAATCGCCGCCTGAGGCTCAGGCTCCGCGGGAGGAGAGGGCTCCGATGGAACGACGGTATCTGGCTGTTCGGTGTCTAGCTGTTCAGCTGCCGCCGACTCCTGCTGTTGGACTTCTGTTTGACTCGGAATAACTACGAGATCATCGTCTAAAATTGAATCAGTCAGTGCTGCTAGTGATTCTTCATGCTTTTTCTTCAACTTCGGATGGTTGTTTTTCAGTGATTTCTGGCGGGACAATCGCTTGGGGTACCTCCTCATGATGATCACCTCCCTCCATGTTGCTGATTTAGAAACTTCTGGTGGTCCCACACGTGTAAATTTGTGTGCTTGCAATTGTTACAGAAACGTGTGATCGTGATTGAGTAATTTAGAAGAAATAGTGATATATCGCCCTCTAGTGTACATGGTCTTATAATAATTTTTTTCTTCTTTTTTTTTTGGAGGGGGGAGGGGCATGAAGGGGATCGTTTCGCCCTTTTGGATGTTGAGAATTCTGGAAAAAAACATCTCTCTTTTCTAACTTTGAAATGATTTTCAGGCTCCTCCCCGTTTCTTTGTTACCTTCCACCTGCCTCACCCCCACCTTATCAAAAGTTGCACCTAAAATGCCATATCTGACGATGTTGTGGTGCAAAAGAAATTGGTGCTAAAATATATTAAAAACAATTACTTAATTAGCCAAGGGAATCAATGAGTTCATATTAACACAGACAATATTGGCATATCGTTTGCAGTGTTCGAAGAAAATACAGTGTACTCAATTTTGAGGTTACCGATTTTAAGTTCTTCGAATAGATTGATGATCTATATCAGGGGTGGATCCAGCCGGCGGCAGGGAGGGGCCCAATTCGTGAATAAATATTTAGGGGCGAAATAGCCGCTCATTGGGGGGGGGGGGGGGGGGGGGGGGGGGGGGGGGGAGGAGCACTATTTTTTTTGGCCCCTTTAAAAAAATTGAAAAATCGCACCCCCCCCCCCTTTTGAACGCCAGGGGAGGGGCCCATCTCCAAAAAAAGGGTAAAATTAACGTGTCTTACACGTTTTTTTCCCCAGCCCCCCCCCCCCCCTCCCCTGGATCCGCCACTGATCTATATACTCGGTCCATAAATAAACAGAAATGATACAGAAAATGGTCTGTGAGTTTTCAATTATTGTTGATATACTACGTGAACAATTTTAATCATGATAAATATATAATAATTTGTATTCTATGGCTATCTATGGAGTTCGAAAGTGTATGGGGTTTAAAGGATACACACCGATTGGAAAATGCGCATGTATATAAGGGCACTAGCTAGGTTAGTTCCTTTTAAATTTAGGGCAGTGTGTCTCGTGTCTCAGGAAAAGGGGCGATTGTCAAAATAAAAGGGCGCGCATTATTATTGAATGTGTAAAGGCTCACTTATAAAATGGAAAACAATAGGCGCTATATAATTTTTTTTTAAAGAAAAGAAAAAGGAAAGGTGCTTATCAGAAAGAAAGAGGGGGCCACTTTTTTTACATAAATAGTGGCACTTTTAGTAAATTTAAAAAGGTGTGTGCGTATGTTTGTATGGGGACACTGAACCCCCTTGTACCCGTCCCGTATAGAGCTCCACCTTGGTGTCTGGTATTAACCAGCAATTACTGGCTTCCCAACTGTTGGAACATTTTTCTCCGACCACAAAACTAAGAGGCATATATATCCACATCTTTTCAATTATATTCAGTTTTCTTTTATGGCAAAGGACTATACGCTCTATACTTTCCTATCAATTCTTTATGTGTGAATTTTAAAGATTTTTATTTTGATCAGATTATTATCAATAATTATAGCAACCAGCAATAATCAATTAAAATTAATTGAGCTAAGCAAACAAATACAATTTTGCCAACCTCTTCTTTTGAACAGAACAGATGTAGGTGCCGTCTTCACAATGCTTACGTGGTATATAGGGGATTTTATTCAGTATTTATTTCTTTCCTTTTTCTTTCCCTCTTTTCCAGTAAGAAATGTTTTTAGGAAATGTGCACTCACTCTCACTCTCTAGCCCATGAATCAAAGTTTGCCAGCAAAAGATGAGGTATGGCTGCTGCCTGCTGTGCATTACAAAGGAACACTGCTATTACTACTACTACTACTACTACATTTTACAAACATTTTTTTATTGAAAATATTGTTCAATAACACGCTGGTGGATAAAACTGCCTGAAATAAATATTGCAATAATTATGACCCCAGAACACATTGTTTGATTCTTTTTTATTTAAACTTGTAATCATTGTCATCGCCATCATTCTGGCATCTACCTGCTTTATTTACTTTTTTGTCTGTGTTTTAACTACAGCTAGATTTCGTATCGTTTGATAGATTGAGTAGATACCACAGCCTGCCGGTCTTTACCGACAAAGTCACCGCATTCATGTAAAATGAACGAGTGAATTAACGTCAAATATTTGATTTATCATCGCTCTATAATGAATTATTTCACATTTTTACATACCTGCATTCGTATCCATCACGAATGAACATGTAGCAGGTATCTTAAATGTTCGTTTTGATTATTTTTCTCTCCACTTCTTTTTCCTGTTTGATACTAAAATTTACGTTACTATCCTATTTTTTAAAAACCGTTTTGGGGTCTAGAGGGGGGGGGGGCGGAAGAATCGGCCCGTGGATCCGCGCCTGAATCAAAGTACTGTTTTCCAAGGGGCCCTGTAAACAAATGCAACATGATATGAAGATACAAACTACTTGAACAATATAAACAATACGAACATCATCGAAAACTTCAATACATATAGTAACTTATAACAGAAAATAAGTAAAGAATAATAAACAAAGCCGTAGTAACAATGACAATTTTCAATGAGCAATTTCAAATCGATACAAAATATACAATGCTTATTATTGAGACGTGTTTTATTCATCTATAATAATTTAAATTCAAAATATGCTTTACTCTCAGTAGCATCTCTTGCTCCTTCCCCCCCCCCAAAAAAAAACTATCGTCTCTCTTTATCCCTCTCCCGTACGTCTCTCTCTCTCTCTCTCTCTCTCTCTCTCTCTCTCTTTCTCTCTCTCTCTATCTCTCTCTTTTCATTTTCATTTTTTTTTTAAGGTAATACAAAGTTTTGGGAAATTTTGAAAATTGGGTGAATAGTGATTCTTTACAATTTTTATATATTTGGATGCCCCTGTGGATGCTTATAACAGGCGCGTACACAGGGGAGGGGGGGGGGGGTTGGGGGTTAACCCCCCCTTTGGTATTTTTATGTGTGTAACCCCCCCCCCCCATCACCCCCCGCCACCCCCCCCCCCCTTTGAATTTTTTTTTTAATTATTAAAAAAAAAAAAAATTATTCCCATGGCTGACCTAAAAAGGTGACCTCACCCCCCCCCCCCCCCACCAACGGAGCCAAATGTCAAATTTTCAAATTTCGAGACCAAAAAAAAAAAAAGTGTCCTCTTCCCCCCCCCCCCCCCCCCCCCCCCCCCCCCCCCCCCCCCCCCCCCCCTTGAAAAAATCCTGCGTACGCGCCTGGCTTATAAGCACTAGAAAATTTAGCCCCTAAAACATTTCTGCTTTCGAGAAAAATAGGATATGAAAATATAACGGTCCTCCCGGAAAATTTTGATAAATTTAAATTAGCCTACGGCCGTACGATATAGCTGTGACCATAATAATTTCCAAACGGGAACTAGCAAATCGGTCGATTTTACTAAAAAAAACATTGTTTTATAGCTTAATTAATATTAGCATAAAGGGTTTATTATTTACAATTTCATAAATTTAGACTCGATTTCAACCGCGACAATGACCACTGACTATTGTAATATTGCATATGCTTCTAAGCCTTCCAATAATGTTCATTTGAACCAAATTCATGACCCCATACCAAAACTTTGTATTATGTTTCATTTGGCACTCCGTACATACGCGTAAGTATTTAAGCGCATACCATACTCTGGCTACACAATGCAATGCATGATACACGTAACGTAGGTGAGTTACATTTAGGATCAGGATAGAGCTAGTGCACTAGAGGTCTACACCACTACAGCCTAATTCTGCAATTGAATTGAGTTTCAGTCCAAATAAATACGCCCATATACTATCAGGGGACTCATCTGACTCTGAGCTACTACAAGGTTAATTAGCCAATCAGGTATGTTTTGGTTATCATTTAATCGTTCATAAAATTTAATCTTTGCCTTGGGCTTGGGAATTTGTTTCTGTTGTTATGCTGACGAGTGATCAGCTTTGCCTTTAATTTGATACAATAGACTGTTTGGTGAATATGAAATTAATATCACCCTAGTCCTAGAAGCCTTACTTGGCATCCATACTTGGCATCCATTTGCTTGTGTGGAGAGCCATGTAAATAAAGACTCATTTGAATGTGAAAATAATATCATAGATCTACATTCTTGCACATGACAAACCTTGTCCTTGCAAACTGCCTTCGTTTCATTGTTAGCTGGAGCTGGAGGATCGAGTCTGCATTTTACTCATGTAATAATACATTTTTTAATTAGTGAAGAATTTAGACTAACTAAAAATGTAGACATTTGTTACCAGAGTGATAGAGCTTTGCTTACCTTCCACTTGTTCCTGATGTCTGATAATATAGATTGACATGCGCACAATTAACGTAACAAAAATGTTCACCTCTGCCGAGTGCGTTATGTTGAACATGGCCAGAAAAATGCAATTATTGATCTGATTGCTTTAAACATGTATTTCAGGAACCTCTTCTTCAAGTCTACCACACGATCAGGGGTCGTAGGTCAAACATGGCTTCTGATACCGGGCCAGGTCAAAAGCCTCAGTATGGGTCAAATAGCAGTGCTGCCAAGTTATGGATGCTAATCAATGTCATCACCTGTGTGTTCTTCACACTAGCAGGTTTAGTACAGGTGAGAGACCTAGGGGTTGTTCACACCAGGGCCCTGTTACATACAATTTACCACTGATGGTAACCTTGGCTGCATCTCACGAAACCGTCATAAGTACAAGTTCAGCGTCATCCTATTGAAACGCGTGTTAAACTTAATACACGCATTTCAGTGGGATGTCGCTGAACTTGTACTTATGACGTTTTTGTGAGACACAGCCCTTGTTATCAATTTTAACTACCATGGCAACATCACACAACAACTTATAAAATTAAGATTTCCATGGAAGTTACAATTAATGGTAAAGTTTTATGCAACAGGCCCCTGATGCAGTTAACTATAGAAAGGAACAAAAATGCTGCACATATGGCAAATACCATTGCAAAGTACTTAAACACTATAGTTGTAATTGAATGGCACATTGCGTGAGAACAGAGTACACACTACAATGGCTCTGAGCTAAAAATATTGACTCAAGCTCTGAATCTGAATCTTGTGTTTCTGTTTCAAAAATTGTCATCAAAACAAAACAATTCTACATGTCAATGACTGGCAAAGTGAGGTGAGAAAAGATTTATCACAAATGCCCTGTAAAGCACATACCTTCTAACTGCTCTGTGTAATAAGATAAATGAAGCACATTCGGCTGAGCAATTTATTTTGCCATAGTACTATTTTGTTTGTTGTGGTTTAAAACTTATGGCAGTTAACCACAGGAGCGAGTCTAAAGTGAGAATCATGGATATCGCTTCATAGTCTTTACAAACAGATGGTTTAAACCTATAAGCTGTGATCTATAAGACCAACTTTCTATGTATAGTCTGACTATTAAATGTGAAAAATTATGTGCTCATTGATCAGAGTCTGTTGTACTGTAGAACATGTCCCACATTGGTTTTATTTGTTCGTTTGTCTGATAAAGGCTTGAAGTTTCGAGAGGTAAAAGATGAATAATTGACATGTTTTGGTGAATTAATAAACCATTCTGATAAGCGTTTGTTTCTCTTGTGTGCATAGGTGTACATATAGAATTAATTTTCTATCCTTTTCTTTCTCTTTGATGCAGGTTAACGATCAAGACCCATATGTTTGGATGGTGAGTTAGATTCAAATTAAGGTTGACTTATTGGTGACTTGGAGATTATCATGAATCAGTATGTGTTAATGCACTGTTGTTCATTTTCGGAATGGATGAGGGCTAGAACCCAAAGACTGCTCTAGCTAAATTTGAATATGTTTGTTTACACAATGATTAATGAAATAATGACAACACCAGCAACCTTCAATATTGTGGCCAGTGTGAATTGTACACAAATGTAAAATATTTCTTCTTCTCATAACACCTAGGGGACAGGGGGTGTTTCACAAAGATCCTAAGTCGAACTTAACTCTAAGTTAGACTTAAACATTATGGAGAGCCATTTGTAGCTTTAAAATGAAATATATTCAAAAGTGAAAATTCAAGTATTTTAGAAGTTAGATAAATTCCACATCAAAAACATGAAATCTCCTTGATAATAGAAAATATGAATGATTTGAATCAACATATTACAACTTTTAAAATAACGTTTACAAAATATTTTCATAGATGCTAATGGCTTTCCATAATTTTTAAGTCCAACTTAAAGATAAGATCAACTAAGGATCTTTGTGAAACACCCCCTGCTGTTATTTATTAGAAGAAGTACTTAGTTCAAACTCACTGATAAACGAGTGCTGCATTTTGTTTTGATCTCAACAGCCTGTATACCTCGTACCTGCTCTTCTCTGTTTCTCTATCGTTTGGAATGCTGATATAGTTGGTAGGTATAGATTTATTGATAGAGTTATAACAACTTTGAAAAATGAAATTACAATTCAGATTCTTTCCAATAATTCATGCATAGAGTCAAAAAACATGCCCCAGGTATTATATTTATATTTTAAAATGTGCACTTTAGTGGACATTTAAGCATGAAAATTAGGAAGGGAGAGAACAAAAAGAGAAAGAATAGGTTAAAAGAAGAAGATAGGAGAAGAGAGAAAGAAGAAGAGAAGAAAGATGAGTAAAGGAAAGCATGAAGAATCAGCAGAGGGAAGAAGAAGAAGAGGAGGAACAGGAGAGAAAAAAAGAAAGACAGAAGGGAAGGGAGGGGAGAATGATTTCGTGAAATGTGCCTTTATTTGTGTATCTGGTTGGTTTGTGATCAAATCATTTAAAATTATTATCTTAGATGTGTATGTAAATGCTATAAGAGCGTAACAATAAGTCTATGTATTACCTTTCAAGTTTCATGGTACACTACTCTCAATATTTTATGTTGCAATGCACATTTTACCTTTAAATTTCATTATTAGGTACATACATATATAGTGTCTGGTGGGTGTTTTTACAAAGACTAAGATCGACTTTAAGTTGGACTTCAATATGGCAGGCCATTCATGCGGCATGCCAGTGTTTGCTCTCTCCATAGTGGTGTTGGTCTCTCAAGGTCACAAATCTACAGAATTTACATTCATTAATAATTCATTATTGAGGGGGGAAAATATTATCTAAAGATCATAATGGTGAGTGCAAGCAGTAGCATGAATGGCCTGCTATAGTTAAGTTCAACTTAACGTCGATCCTAGTCTTTGTGAAACACTCTCCTGGTCTCACAAATACTGGTATTTATTTATATTTTCACTTTCGATTTTAGAGAAGAGTTGGTGGAGACTGATAGCTATCGTTCATCTTATTGGTTGCTTGATCTGTACCTGCGTCTTAGGAGGGACGGTTATTCATTACATGGAGGACAGATTGATGAACCCACTGAGATATGAAGAAGGAAGGTGAGCAAAAAGAGATGGTTAAATAAAATCTTGTAAAGAGGAAAACTTATGGTGATTATGGTGCTTATTTTTCCTGACTGCTAAGAAAGCATAAATGCTTGTAAGTAAGCAACCAGACGGCCGAAGGCTTTAGGTCCTCTCCAATGGACCTGGTAACGAGGATTAATGCCTTACCAGAGGGCACTAGCGCATCGACTTGATTTAGAACCCGGGTCACCGGATTACGAGACCACTGCTCTACCGAATGAGCTGGTTTGGAAGAATATCATGGTGGAAATGTCCCCTGAAAACAATGAAGATTAAAAAAATAATAAGAAGAATGATAGTAATGAACACTTGCGGCTGTAATATAAGAATATTTTGTGTGTAAATAAATGATAAATAAAGATCAAACGGGGTAAATGTTGTGCTGCTGTGCAAATGAAAAACACTTCTAATAATCATACATTTGATACATGATACAGAAATGTGAAGAACACTGAACCTATTGATGTCATTTTATTTTGACACAACATTTTTTGTCTGGCATTGCACCATATGTGTGTGGATGAGTCTGTAAGCCTACATTGTCATAGATTCTCTCTTTCATTCTCTGTATGTATGATTATCCTTTCAGGGAGCTTAGTGGTGTCTTAATTGTTGATGTGTGGTTAATAATCTGCTTATGTCGCTGTTGTGGAGTAGTTAAAAGGTAAGTACGGCATAGAATGTCGTTATTATCAGAAATTAATTTGAATTAGATTTGAATGAACTTGCTCTGTAACTTAAACATGTACCAATTGCTGCTTTACTGAAAAGATGGTTTCAAGTATTTACAAGGCAGCACAAGTACTACTATCATTGAAATTTAAGACAGAAATCTCCCTAAGACTGGTAATATTTTTGTGAAACCTGCAAAATATTGGGACAAAAACTAAAGCCGTGTTTCATATTGTAAAAAAACTAAAAGAGTTATTCTGTACACGTTGCAGATAGAAGAGGGGGGGGGGGGGGGTAGTCCACCCTATGCTGCAATTGCCACTGGTAACTGAAGTTGCAAGTTTGAAGTCATTGAGAATTATGTTGGATCATGCTGTTGGACATATTACAATGTCAAGTAGCCCTTCTAAAAATGTTCTCTTTTTATTCATTTCATGTTTTTTAATGCCAACCAGTACGATTTTATCGTATTTAGTACGATGAAAAAAGTGAAATAGGATAAAATGATATCGCCTCTTGAAAATACGACTTTTCATTTTTTCAAAACATAAAAAAATTGTTCGCTTAGAAACATGTACAAGTAAACCAACGCAACCCAGACAAAAACTTTGCTTTACAATTTTCTCAGTAAATGTTAATGAAAGAGCAAATTTTTAATTACCAGTAAAACATTTTTCTGACATTCTACTGGCCCAGGGCCAACGGGCCACTGGTAGTGCTGAGTTTTCGTGAAAATTATATTTCTCTCAAAACTCTGATTGTGTGAAGGATATTCAGTCTGTTTTTTTGTGTCAAGAGGTTGGCATCTCTGTAGTAATGATTTATTTTCTTTGAATATCCTTCTCTTGTTGCAGTGGCACATCAACTGGTCAGATCAGCGTGGTGATGTGGTTGGCACTCATTATCAGTCTTATGCCTATTGTCTTCTGGGGACTCTGCTGCTTCTCGCGATTCAATCACTGCTCGGACATGTGGTGACTAGTCCCCTCCCCTGGGGCGGGTTAGATAGAAACCTGGACCAGGACCAAGACCAAGAACTATTCCTGAAAGTAACTTCATAGTTTGGACCTGTCATCATAGATATGATCATCGGTCCTATCCCAAGAGTATTTTGGGGACTGTGCTCATCATGTATTGTATGGACATTCTGTGACTAGTTCCCTCTTCAGGGTGCATGCATGATTGCACAGAATTCATAGTCTCCATATTTTGATCTCATAATCATGGTTGTGGAGCAGGGGGAGATTGGAACTGTAACATAGCCCTGGAATCTGATGCGACCATCCAACTCTAAATATTAGTATAAGATATGCATTCCCTTTTAAAAAAATTAAAAATTTATGTCGTGCTCTACTACACTTTTAAGGACAGCGCAACTCACATTTATTAAGCCAAAGAAACAATTGGCTAGTTTGTAATATTTAGATGAATAGGATGGTTTCTTAAATACCATTCCTAGAAGGGCATTCATTTCTTACCCATCGATTTGGATTGTACATATTTTTGCCAAAAACAACTTATGAAATTGAGTATTACCCATTACTAGCATCATGGTGGGATCGGATCCCGGATAGAAAGGATAGTTATGAAGACTATGTATGGAGGATACAGTCTCTGCTTTCATGCAGAATGTGCTGTCAGTCCAAGTCTAGGTCTGAACGGTCTTGATCTTTTGTGTACATATTACAATGGGGGTTGTATTAAAGACACTGCCCATGCCATGCCATGGATATAAATCAAACATCAAGGAAGAGATAACACATAGGTACATGTCATAGAATCAACTCCAGCTGCTTTTTTTTTTTAATTTTCATACTTTTCATTCAAATTTTTTTTTTAAATTGCAATTTTCTTTCACATCAGTTTGTTTATTAAACATTCTTTATTTTTCCAAACTATGAAGGAGTTGAAAATGAGGAGAAATTTTTGGTACAATTAATCCAGGAGGGAAAACTTATGAATTTAGAAAAAGAGGACACTCTGAATTGCAATGTGGAAAAAAGATGATTCTATGTCTCGTCCATTCCATGTCTGTCCCTGTTCTCTTGCATTTTATAATTTTATCTACCCAAAAATACAGTCCCTTACCCCCTCTTTTATACCTACCGTAGTCTGGTATTATAAAAGGTCAAGTGTGTGGCAAATATGGGGTACTGCACAGAGAAGGCAGCCACCTCTTCATATGAGTCATCAATGAATCTTGCTTTGTTTTAAAGGGAAATCCAACCCAAATAGACATCTACTCTAAGCGAAAGCAGAAAAATCAGAGAAGCAAACTGATGAAAGTTTCAATTACATCTGACTAAATATAAGAAAGTTATGAACTTTTCAAAGCTTATCTGCCATAGTTTACAGGAGGGGTTAGACTGCCCTGCAAGGTCACTGGACAGGTGGTTATCTCATCAACTCAGCTCTCAGTTAACATAAGAAAAAGAGGATCATGGGGGACCAATGGTCACCAATTAGGCATTGTTTGTTATATAGAGGGCGCAAGTAGCTACAAGTAGTGCAGTGGGCCTTTAAAGTTGTAATCACTACACGTATGGGCACTACAAATTGGCTGAAGCGGTAATGTTAATGTAATGTAGTGCCGGACTACTTTCTTGTCTGTTCCAACATATAAAATGACTAAACTTTAAATTTGTCAAAAATTCATTGCTCAGGAGGGTCTATTCTTCTTTGAGGACCTATAATAATATGCTATATATAATATATTTTGAGTAGTGCCCCAAGGGAGAAGAAACTTATACGAGAAAAACAGATATTAGTGATATTTTTGTACACAGCAAATAGGAGAGTTATATGTCACAATCCACTAACCAAACTACCAATTGGAGATTCGCATAGACTTAGTGATCTCATATTTCAAACATTCATAACTTCCTTACTATTGGTCCGATTCATTTCAAACTTTTGCCATTCTGTTTCTGTTATTTTCTGCTTTCATGCAAATCTACTTATTACAAGGGTTGGATTGGCCTTTAATGCATGTGCAACCTTTAAATCAGTCTCTTCGTCTGGCCAACAGAAGAGTGCCAATGGATGCATAGGCAAAGGATAAAGTTTTAGACATGATAAAGTATTCTAAAGGCCTGAGTGTTCTCAACTACATCTATGCAACACATTTCATGTAGTACATCATCAGAATTCAACAGTAATAGCTTGTTAATTATAAAAATTATAACAAATTGGAACTAACAAAGTTTCTAAATTATTCTGAATGTTGCTGCCTGTACATACAATTTATTTATGGGAATACCATGTTCGTATTTTTAACTTTATTGAGAGCAAGAGAGGAAAATGGGAAATGTATTGAATACATTTGAGAAAAGACAACAAAAAGACAAAGATACAATGTAAGAATAGCAAGTGGGTTTTAGGTAAGGTTTAGGGTGAAGGGTCATTGTTTGATCCAGGGTTGGAAATTCAGTTCATGTAGAAATATTACCGTAGGAAATGTCGCTGAAGCATGTTTTTGTGCACCCCAGTTTTGAGCTATGCTGCTCATGAATCGATCTTTCTGATTGTTTATGTTTTGTACAATTGTAGCATGTACATGTATTTAACTCGTGTTTGCTCACATAGGTGATTCAGTACTACGTTCATCCATTGATGATGATTGCAGATTACAGAAAATGAATAGAGAGGTGTCAAGATCATATAATAATAATAATAATGATAATAATAATGGTGGCTTCTTATAAAGTGCACCAGGTCCGTCAGGCATGACGCTCATGGTGCTATGTTGTTTGTTTTATGGGAATTTTGCTGGTATCTTATCATATCAAGCATGATTTATTTCAATCATGAATGTTTCTGTCTGCTAGAAACATATGATGTAATTGCCTACTCTTGGTGGTTCCTTCATATATTTCTTATTGAGCTACCAGCAGTTTTACTTCCTTCTTATTTTTTATATTGATAATTGAAATGTGCATATTTTCCAGTGTGATATCATCTTTTTTAAATGTTCTGAATATTCTTGGCAAGAGTGAAGATGGGGAAACAGGGCTGGTCCCTTCTTACTTTTGTTTTACAGTTGGAGTCATGTATGTGGCCTTGAAAATGGTTTTGAAATGTTTTTGGTTACCGGTAATGATTAAAGATCTTGGTTCATTATTTTTTTAGGGGGGGGGGGGCAGAGGTAATATTTTTTGTTTTTTTAAATCTTAAAAAAGAACTATAAAGGCAGAGAAAATTACCCAGGGATGATAACTTGTTCATGTCTATTTGGAGTATGCACAACTTTGGTTTTAAAGCTGGCACAGGCAAGTTGTACCCCCCCCCCCCCCATATCCTACCATTTAATACATGTGCATATGTAACACTTTCTTTTTGTATTGTTGCTATTGTAGAGTATATATCTCTAGTAAAATATTTACATGTAATCTTATAAGTTTTCTGTATTTTCTTTGCTCTTTCATATGATATTATGAATCTGATTTATTTAGGGACCCCTGGTTGTTACTAATTTCTTGCTCTTAAAGAGTATGAGTAATTTTTTATCATACAGTTATTCTGTAAGGTTTTTTTCCTTTCAATGAGTATTGTGCTCCAAGATTTTAACAAATGAGGATAATCCTGTAAGTATTTATAATATCTGTATTTCCTCTGTATATATTGCTTTCTCATATATGGAAAAGAGACTGATGTAGAAGTGTTGTAGTCGAGTGGTTAAAGCACTTGACTTGAAATTCAAAGGTCATGGTTTGATCCTCGACATGGCACTAATGTCCTTTGGCAAGGCATTAATCTACATTTGCCACTCAATACCCAAAAGAGAAATGGGGACCCAATAGGATGACAAAAGCATTTGTGTTACCCGGTAATAATTACCTATGCCCTCACGGTGACCATATGGTAAAAATACTCCCCAGGGAGTGGAGAGGGTGCACATTGAGCGTGAAGGAATCCATTGAGTGGGGTAATAATATCTGTAAAGCGCTTAGAGACAGTATTCCGTATTAAGCGCTATATAAATCTGGGTTATTATTATTATTATTGATTTCCTTCTAATCGGGTGAGAGAGTGAAACTACTATCGAGCAAGGGAAATGATGATCATGTGACTCAGAATAATTTGTTTAGTATTATACATGTCAGAACCTTGAGCATTACGTCCAGATCGAAATGGGAGCCAAATAATAATAATAACAAAGACATTGAAATATTACATGCTTGGTACCTCATAAACAATTACACATCAGTTGAATGCCAGGCACTGAAAAATGTCGACAAAGATATTTTATGGTTAATCAAAATATTGTTTTTGAAAATGAAATGTTATGTTATGGAGACTGGTATGAAAGAAGTATTATATATTTAAAGGATATCCTTAAAATCGAAGTTTTGTTTCAGTAAGTGAGTTATATATCTGTCTTAAAACTACTGATACGAAGTAAACAACTTTAGATTTTTGACTATACTAAGCTGCTACAAAAATCAATTCCAAAAATGGATAAATGATAAGCATATGATACCTTTAGGATTCAAAAATCATAATTTCATTTCCCCCCACATTGTATTTGGGAAAGCAGTTAAGCCTGTTAGCTATTTGAGTATTAAACAGTGCTATAAAATTATAATTTTTAAACAAATTAAAATTGATAAATGTTGTTTGTATTGGGAAAATATTGTGCAGAAAGACGTGAACTGGTCCTCTGATTGATTGGGATTAAAGAATTTAATTTACGTGAATTTAATTTAAAGCTTTTATATGATATGCTACCAGTTCGGAAAAATCTGTTCAAGTGGGGTCTTCTATACAACGACCTTTGTTTAAAATGCAAAGTAACTGAAGATATTTGTCATGCTTTTATTTCATGTAAGGCACACAAAACCTCCTTTGAGAGTATTTGAAGGACTCAGTTTTACATGCTTTTAATCTTGAAATAAAGATAGATATCATTGTCTTACTCAAAATGAATTTGCAAACCAAAATTGATTAAATAATGACGATTGTAATTTGGTCTATTATAATATGATTATTTTTCCTAGTATGGGTATAATGAAAGGTATTCGAATTTGATATATTTATTTAGGAAAGAAATGACTCACAGACTAAACATAAATGAACATCTGACAGTACAAAATATAAATTTTCCTGCAAATTTGCTTCATTCATTGCTTCTGGA